GAAGGGAGATTAATGAAAACGGAAAAGTACTGAATGTAGCGAATACGTAAAGTTTCAGGTCTCTATGTATTTTAAAATCCTAAGAAAGTTTTGGTTTCATTATAGTGATGTCACTTAACGTTTTTGGTGTGTTTGAAAATCATTTATTTATGGCAAAGCTATCCCTACTTTGAGCTACTGTTTGTTTGCTTTTGAATTTCGCGCAAAGCTACACGAGGGCTATCTGCGCTAGCCGCCCTTAATTTAGCAGTGAAAGACTAGAGGGAAGGCAACTAGTCATCAACACCCACCGCAAACTCTTGGGCTACTCTTTTACCAACGAATAGTGGGATTAACCATCACATTATAACGCCCCCAAGGCTGAAAGGGCGAGCATGTTTGGTGGGATTGAGATTCGAACCCGCGACCCTCAGATTGCGAGTCAAGCGCCCTAACCACCTTTAAATATAATAAATAAAATAGGTAAACATTTTTTGAGTATTTATAGGTAAATAAATTTGGCCAGAGTCATTGGAGTCAAGTAAAACATTTTTATTGCTCGATTTAAATTTATTGCGAATATGAAAATTCAAATTAAGTTATTTGTGTGTCACTTGTTTATTTACAAGTTATTAAAACATCGCTGCGACACATTTTTTTCACAATCCAAGGTCAAACACATTTTCTCCTGACGTATGTACATAACAGGTGTGTGTGTGTGTTTCTTAGAGCACAGCCACATCGAGCTATATGCTGTGTCCACCGAGGAAAATCGAATCCCTGATTTTGGCGTTGTAAACATAAAAGGTAACCTTGCATTATTGTACGTTTGGTTTTACAGCGTGAAAAACGTAAATAAGAAATAGAACAATAAATTTATCTCTTATGATAACTCTCTTTAAAAACAATACATTTTTTTTCTTTCCGAAATATAGCTATAATTTCACCACCCACCGCCAACTCTTGGGCTACTCTTTTACCAACGAATAGTGGGATTGAACGTCGCATTATAACGCCCCTACGGCTGAAAGGGCGAGCATTTTTGGTGTGACGGGGATTCGAACCCGCAGATTGCGAGTCGAGCGCCCTAACCACCAGGCCATGCTGAGCCAACTTCTATTTTTGCAGTGTCGGCTGACACCGTGTTAATTAAAGTTTACTTCTACGTTGAATAACTATAAGATTTCATACTATTATTTACAAAAGTATTACGATCCTAAATGAATGTTAACTGCTACAAGTTTTAAAATTATGAATATTCCAGTATGGTATATTTCACTGAAATGTTGTACTTTTCGAAAGTTTTGCCTAGCGCTTGTTTGTTTATTTGTTTGTAATTAAGCACAAAGCTACACAATGGGCTATTTATGCTCTGTCCACCACGGGTATGGAAACCCGGATTCTAACGTTGCAAGTCCGCAGACATTCCGCTGTGCCGCTAGGGGGAGGGGGCTGCCTAGCGCTAAAACGTTTGTAAAAAGTACTTTTTTAAATCAAATAACAATTATTCAAGAAAACGGCTTCTGTGAAAAAAAAACAAAAACAACAACATTGATCTGTATTCAATAGAGATGGGAATAATTAACCAAGACTCTCATAATGATGGAGGAATCGTGTAAAAGTTAATACTTCCGTAAAATTTGTAGATTATTGATTGTTAATAATTTTAACAGCTTTGTAGAATCTGAAATTCGTCGTAAGTTGTCTGTGACAAATTATATGCTTATTTTGACTTTGTAATAATTTTACAAAGAAAACCTTGGAGACTTATAGCTGACTAACCTACAAGTAACCTTTATTTAAAAAATTTTCAAACTCAATTTCTTAGCCTCCTTCACAACGACATCAACTGGCGCTGTAAAAATAGAAGTTTTAAAATAGAACATGAGCTTCAAACATTGGATATTAGCCAGGCCTCAAGAAGCCGAAGAAACGAGTGGAAAATGTTTGTAGTCTTAAAGAATGGACCTCTGCCCTTTGAAAACGATGAACGAAGAAACGAATTTCTTTTGTTGTGTTTAAAAAAAAAGGAAGCCTTATAAAAGTGGGGTTCACTTTTGAAAACAAGATTTCCACATTATTTACGTAGTATTACCTAACTCATTGACATTGTTAGTCTCAAGTGGGGGGGGGGACACCGTCTTTTGGGAAATGCTATTTTACAGACTCTTATCTGCACTTGCACTTGTCTTGGATGGTTGTTTTTGGAAGGTTTGAATTTTGTTCTCTTCTCTCCACCTCAGCTTTGGGTCACATTATGCAGTCCACTCACAATATCCTTTAAGAGTATAATCCTCCTCATTGATAGAAAATTGGATGAAGATATTTCTTTACACTTTTCAAACGTTATTGGTGCTATGGAAATGAATTCATCTTGTTTCTGTAAGTATTGAATACAACGTTTGACTCTCACAAAATTACTTAGAAAACATTCTTTGAGGCACGGTAATGTAGCGTATGTGATATCTCGCAGATGTCCAGCAAAGCAGAAATACAAGATCCGTTAATAACTGTAGGTTCTTGGATCTTGACTTGCATGTATGTTTCTCAAGAATTGCGTCAGTCGAGTCAAAAAAAAGAAAGAGAATAAAAATGGGTTAAAATATAAATATAAGTACAAATAAACAATATACTCACTGCCGTAGGAAGCAATTTTGGAGTGGTTAGGCCATTGACATTGCTAAAGAAAGTGACACACGATATATACAAAGGACGCCATTTCTAGGGGGATCAGGGGCACGAAAATTTAATGCTATGAGATTGAATCTTGAGCCATTTTAACTACAAATACTGCATACACACAACGTAATGTATTGAATTAAAAGAAGTATATTTTAATACATAAGTTGTAGCTATACATGCCAAGAAAAATTGGTGAGGCCATGGTCTGAATGGCCTTACCACTCCCTACAATGGTACAGAAACTATGGAGAAAGAGATGGTGTGTGATAAACAAGAATTAAAGAAGACTTCAACAGAAAAAAACATTGACTTTTGTCAGTGTGTGTAAGCCCCATTTGTGAGTTAAACTAGGTGAGAGAGAAAGTTAGAGAAATATCTATCTGGAAACGTGCCCCAAGTTAAGTTAAATGTCATGTTATTTTAATCTACTTAAGTACTCTATGTGGAACTCAAGTCTCTACTGTTCACACATGCCGTGAACGAACCCTATTGAAAACGCTAACGTGACAACAATGATGTAAATCGCACTGGCTTAAAGTGAACACGAGAACAAGAAGGACACCCACGAATCGCATAGACTCTTTTTTTTTTTTTTAAGTAACATTAAAAGTAAAAGTACAATGGAAATATATCAGAAACAGAAAGTTTCGGACGAGAGTTTACTGAAATACAACTTTTAAAATAAGAAAGAAGTATAAGAGAAACTGAAGACTATGCAGTACCGGTTCCAGCTTTCCTTAACTGGGGTGGATGGGGCAGTGATACACTAAATGGGACCAAATCAAAAGTAAAAATAAAGTCAGATTAATGGTTTGTTTGTTTGTAATTAAACACAAAGCTACACCAAGGGCTATCTGTGCTCTGCGCACCACGGGTATCGAAACCCGGATTCTAGCGTTGTAAGTCCGCAGACATACCACTGTGCCACTTGGGTGCCAGATTAATGGACAACATTAGTTTGGGGGTTAGCCACATTAAGGGAATCTGGCCCACTGGCTCCCCGCTAGTGCCGGGCCTTAGATTACATAACTAAGGTAAACACTGCAAGTGTAGACACCATATAAACTTTGCATAATTCTATATAAAATCCTTTTAAAATCTGCTCTTCCGGGCCCCAACACTGTCTTCAATTTGTAAATAAATCATCAAGTTCCTGACACAAGAAAACATTATTTGATGCTTTTTAGAGCAGTTGGCCAACGGTCAATGAAGATAAAGAGCAAGTCCACTTGTAACTATCATCTGATTCGCTGACAAGAATAACACAGCTCGCTAATTAAAAACAAACAAACAAACAAAAAAAAACATGTTGGCATTCCTGTAAGAGAATCAGGCAAAAGAAACTTCTTAATCTTCACTTAACCTGACGCCCCTTAAGGAAATTTAAAGTTAGTAACCCACTTGAACACCACTGTGTTCCAATTGTAAAACTATGAAAAACAAGATAATTCCGAAAGGGGTGGGAAACATGTAGTACGTCCCCATACTATAAGTGCAATACATTTGATAAAGCAGCCTTGGAAATTTCTTGTAATAACCCGAAATATTCTTTAGCTATAGGTAACAACTTGGTCTCAAAGATGTTCATCGACCTTCAAGGCATCTGTGCTTACTGTCCAACAAGCCGAAAAAAACTGTCCAGTTGATCAAGTAGAGTAAATGGAGTAGAGATGAAAGAGACTGCACAAAGAGGATAGAAAAACTTCATCCTGTGAGATGTATAAAAAATTCTTATTGGCTCGGTATGTGTATGACGTACAAACTAAGAAAAAGAATAATTTAATGTCTTTGTTGAAGTTTATATAGTAATGAGCAGTTTTAATGAATTACCCTCTAAGTTAGTATGCAGTTGATTAATTACAAAACATAATATTTTTCACTCACAGTCTGTATATAATTTACGAAAGCTTAGAGCTGTCATTTATTTATCCCTTTTGTTTCATAAACATTGTTGTCCCGAAATTTAAAATATCTACATAAAGTGTCTAATTATCAATCATGTTTATAGTTTGTAAATACTCCAAATAACTCTAATTGTTAAAAATAATTTTTTCCCCATTTTTTATTCATTTAAATCATTCTTTTTTCCGGTTAACGACTTTGTAAAATCCAAGCAGGTTGGTCTAATATATCTTCAGAGCAATTAAATTAAAATTTTTTAAAAAATTATATAAATATATTTCAAAAAATGTATCATTTTTACTTTTGTGGCTTCGTTCAAAATCCGTTTTCATACCAATTAGAGTCCTCAAGACACATCAAATATATCAAGTATTAAACTAAAAATAGATTGAGTCAAAAATTCAAAGGATTTAAGAAACAACTTTAAAGAATCTTTATTCTCATACGATATAATATTCATTTCCTCATGATAATACAAAATAAGAGAAATTGAAAAGATTTGTAAATTACATTTAATACTTCTAGCACTTTCGATAAGTGGACCTGACCACTCACAAGTCAACAACAACAAAAAACAGATTCCTATGTCAGGAACGTTAGGGTTTTATCGTTTCTTAAGAATCTAATTCTTTCAATTCTCAAGGTCTATATATATGTATGTGTGTGTGAATCTACAACAAAGAGAGTTGTTATATTGCTTGATGCACTTGTTATACATGTGATATATATAAATACTTAAAGTTTTGAAGTTATTTCATACATACATGGGTTTGATTCACTCAGGTTTTAGTCAGTCCTTTATTTTTTCACGATCGAGTTGCATGAAATTTATGTGATTATTTTATCGGAACCTCGGATAAGTGTCACAACGTTATTTTTTTATGGTTTAACCATAAGTCGATAGTTTGATTAAGGAAGGAAATTATTAATCTTCACGTCACGTTTGAATGACTTAAAATACTTCTTTCATAATTATTCATATTAACACGAACAGTGTATGTAATTATTCTATGGTTATTCTTGTTATTCTACCAACGTTTCTGTGACTGCACTATTTTCCTATCGTTATATATATAGAAAAGTCCCTTAAAACAATTTTTACGAGTTTTATGCATGCAACGTTGGACAACCCGAATAATTCAGTGGTTATATTATGCCTATTACCGATCGCAGCATGTTAGAGGGCGCTGAATTATTCGAGTTAAGCGTCGGATTGCTGTTTTTTCTTAAAGTGATTGGCTAAAATGTTTTATATTAGATTTTTTTAGTATGTTTGATGTGATATTTCTGCATGTTTATTTATATTAAATATATTCTTAAATTTAGAAACAGATATATTTTTGAAAATTGGTCAGGTATTTTTTATTTTGGATTTTATAGTATTGATAGTTTTCTCCGACCAATAAAGTCATTGGTGAAGTCAATGAAGATTTTGTGCCCCTATTTCTTACACAGGTTAGGTATCGATATCAAATATGTCAGGAATTGATGTTGCATCCTTTGCGAAAGATTTTTTGGCTGGTGGAATTGCAGCAGCAATATCCAAGACTGCTGTAGCACCTATAGAACGTGTGAAACTACTTCTGCAAGTACAACATGCTTCTAGACAGATTTCACCGGACAAACATTATAAAGGTGAGTAGATTTATATACAGTAGTCAATGGCTGCCACCGCCATGTTTTTTTTAACTTTAATGCGAAATTATATGTGGTGAATCTGTAGTCGTGTACCTAATGTTAAGAGCTAGTAATTACGGAGGCGTACTTTACGATATATTAGTATTCTATACTGATAGAGAGTATTACAATTATAATTAGTACTAGTGGTAGTAATTGGACTAACGTCATTGATATTTTAATATTTATTTCTGACAATGGTCAGGTATTTGTAAATGAATGTAACTTGTAAGTTTCTAATTTTAATTTCTATACTTTACTCTTTACACTGTAATTTATTGTTAATATTATAGAATTGCCAAGGAATTGTTTGATACTTTGGTAATTCTTCATAAAGTATAGTATTAAATTTAAACTTAAAGTACAAACTTTAATTTAAAGTTCATCTTCAAAGGGCTGATCCTTTTGTTACAGCAAAACTAAAAGAAAGTTACATTTATATAATATAGTTGTTTCTTCCTTGAAACCAATTAATATTTCAAAGACAGAAGGCTTCCAAATCGTTGTCCATTCCACATGAGCTACTTTTGTAAATGAGACCACTCTGAACAAGTTTTAAAATGTTAATGATAATCTTCCTTATAAAATCGACTTGTGAAATTGTTGTTACATTGGTGAGTTTCTAATGTTCACTAAATCAAGTATTCATATTTAACTTGTTCATAGCTCACTCGCAGTAAAAAGTAGAACTCATTCATGTCTTAGTATTTGTTCAATGTTATTATTTCACATTATTTACCAATTCCTGAATAAATTAAAATGGTGTAAGATATAATTTATAGTCTAAAAGAAATTTGTATGGGAATGACATAATCTTTCATTTTGAATGTCATCTAGTACAAATTATGAATTATTAACATGCATAATATGTTCAAACTCCCCGAAGTTAACTCGCATAGTGTAGGACAAAATTATAATACCAGTAGGTTTCTCAATAATTCGGAACCAGAAGTATTTTGTGCACAGAATTTTGAGTGCATGCAAACAATTGTGTTTTACAAATTTATTTACTCCCAATAAGTTTATGTACTCAAGAAAAATTGCGTTGATTTTAACATTCTACTGGTGTTACTGATTCTAGAGTAATCAATCACCAATATCAAACATGTTTACTACTGATTCATGAGGTGGAAATTGAGGTTTATAACCAATAATGGTAATACCAAAAAACATTTTTAATGTGAACATTTTGGTATTTTTTTAACATTCCAACATCAGTGTAAAACCTTAAAA